AAGCCCGGTGTTGACACACGTGTGGTCGTGGGACTGGGAGGAAGTGCAGTCTCGGTGGAAGGAGAGGTACTCCATGTGGCTGTGCAGGTGGAGCGGCCCAAGACATATGTATCTAGGATTTGAAGATGGGTGAGAGGTGGGGTGCAGCCAGGATGGTGAGGTCATCTGTAGGCCAGGAATGTCACTTCTGCAATATCTCATCTGACACCTGAAAAGTCCAGGAGGGCCTCAGAGCCTAGCCAGGGCTCTGGCTCACCAGATACTGTTAAGTACACTCAAGGCCCCAAAAGTAAGGAGGACGGAGCAGAGCCACAGGTCACCCATTCACCACAGGAGTGGGTACCACCTTTTCACCACAGGAGTGAGAATAGCATCTCTAAGGAGCCTCCTTAGTTATTTGCTGTTTAGCTACAGTGACTTATGCCTGCCCCTAGAAATCTAAAGCTTATGTTCAAGACACAGTTCCAAAATGAAGTGCTGCTCCTTCTAAATACACCCAGCAGAGAACAGACTGTTAACGTCTTCTGAGGGCAGTGACACCCGAAGTGGGTACACCACCACATAACTGTAGCTCTAGGTCCAGTTCCAGATTCTACCTCAGTGAGCCTAATCCCAGTCGTGGGATGTCTGGGACCACAACCTATGCTCTAACCATTTTCAGGGGGCCTCCCAAGTGTCAGGTGTATGCTGCACACCTCACTTTTAACCTCCCTCAGGGGTAGGTGAACGAACTCAAGGAGCCACCAGTATGCAGGGAGGGTGCCATTTTCAATCTGGAAAAGAGAACACCGAGGACCCGAAAGGTCACCCTAGTCGCAGTTACTTTCCACCAGGCAATCACTGACAAGTGATAAGTGTATGGGATCTGCTTGAATGAAGAGATGAGTCATGTTTATCCATCATGTTTATTCAAACTCAAACCAAGTTCATTGCCACTGTCCATTTTGATTCATAACAACCCTGTATAGTCTTTCTGAGGCTATGTATCTTTACAGAGCAGATGGCCCATCTTTCCCCTTGGAGCAACTGGTGGATTTGAACTGCCAATCGTTGTGTTACAGCCCAGTGCTTACCCTAGAGCACCACCAGGATCTACTGGGGGCTGTTAAAGGCTCCAACTCAACTGGTGGAAACTATGCTTATCCTATTAGCTTGCTCAGAAAAGCCTTTCATCACAATGTAAGGGTTCATTTCAGCCTCATCTTTGCCCAGATTATGAGTACGGGAAACATGGAGTCAGAGTGATCTTTTTCATCTACACTTCAGAACATCAGTGTACTGAGCAAATAGCAGAGTCGATTTGATGTCTTCTAGCCTCAACCCTACACCTTCCAATAGCCCTATTAAAATATGAGAGAGTCGTGTCTTCAAAGCAGAATGGGGAGGGAATAAGGAATGGCATTTCAAATAGGTGAGTCTGAAGGTAGACATAGGTTGGACCTGGATGGAACAATGTTCTCTAGTTCTTGTTGGGTACCTGCAGTGGTTTCTGGTCACCAGTCTCCAGGTGTCCCCTTTTGAGAGAGGCAGACCTGAGCCGAGGGTGGAAATCTGGTCACCCTGGAGTTCTACCTTAGGGACTGTGGAAGGCACAGAGCAGGTAGTATTCTGACAGGGAGGGACTGAGAGGGAGTGGGGTCTGAATTCTGATCCAATTCCTAAGGACCCTGGGGAATAGCCATCAGCTCCAGAGACTTGGGACACCTCTTCTCTGTATCCCTGTCACACCCTTGGCTTTTCATTCCATTGTTGCATTAAAGAACAAGGGCACAGCAGGTTAGGTAACTCTCCTTGCTGTTCCATTGGTTTCCAAGCCTAGGTCTGTTACCTTTCATTGAGAAGTGTGGCCAACGAGGGGCAACCACATGAGAGGCAGAGAACTGAGCAGGGTGCAATGGGCTACAGTCACGTGTTCTAAAGCTGAGAGCCGAGGTGTGGGTGAGTACAGAGGCCAGTCCACGACAGAAAAAACCTTTGGGGATACAGTGACCCTGGTGAGCAGGGCAAAGGTCTTCAGGAAGCAACTGAGGTGGGGATGGAGAGAGGGAGTCACCAGATGCACCTGGGAGGTTCTGCAGGTTTCAGAGACTTCTTGGTTGTGCCCTGCCCACACCAGGATGCCACTCTATGTGACACACTATGTTGTATGCTAGAAACCCAGTCACTTTCAGGTCCCTCGTCCTGACCTAGACGGGGTGCGTACCCCAGCACTTGGGGATACACGGCATTTGTCCAGCCACATCTGAGACTTATGCAATCAGACCACTTCCTAACACTGGAACACTATAGTTAGGGATGTTCCAGGATGACAAAAATGATGGATGTGAAACCTGAGTGTCCTGCGTCCTGATCCTATCCGCTTCCTCCACAGACCAAGAAGTCTTCCTACCCACAAACATTATTTTCATCCCTAGGCTGTACCAACAGCCCCCTCTGCTTCCTGAGTCTTTTCCTGGGCTCCCCTCTCTCTGTTCCCATCAGTTATGGTTCTGAGACCACCAGGTGGTGGCCTCCAAGAGCAGATGGTCCAGCCCATCCCCTGGGTGGCATCTGTGCCACCACCACCACTGCTAAGGACATGCTTAGTACATAAACTGTATGTCAAGCTCTGGTCATAAAGCTCTGACACCGGTCATACACATACAGTGAGATACATGAGCTCTGGCCTGTTAGTCCCATGGCATCTGTGGGTAGCTATATTGGCAGCAGCCCCACCCCCACCCCGAGGGCTCAGGAGGGTGGTCAACCAAAATCAAGGTGCTCATCGCACCGCACTACTGAGCCCATGCTTGGGAGTTTCCTGTCTTTATGCAGTCCTTCAGGAGCAGGCCAGGGGAGCAGATGTCGCCTATGACTGTTTCCAGGCTGAGAGTCCTTCAGCCAGTCTCCACCGGTGAAATCAGCACACAGCTGCGAGGCTTTAAGGCAGCCTGAGTACAGTGGACTAATCAGAGGCCCTGTGCCTGCAGGGCTCGGGACAGGAGGGCGACTCTTAATGTGCACAGCATAAGAAGTCCTTTTGAATCTTATAATAGAATCTTCCTTTGCTCTGGCTTTTTTTTTGTTTTTTGGTCTTCTTGTTTATAAGTTGTTTTTATTAAGGCACAATTCACATAACATAAAATTATTTTAAAGCATGAAAGTAAATTAAATGACATTTAATTCATTAAGAATACTATGCAGATTATCACCTCTCTCTAGTGCCAAATAATTTTCAACATCCCAAAAGGTGATCCATTATCCAGGAAGCAGGTACTTTCTGTCCCTCCCTCCCTCCGGCCCCTGACATCCCTAACCTGCTTCCTGTCTCTCTGACTTAGAATATTCACATAAATGGAATCATACACTATGTGGCCTTTGAGTCTGATTTCATTCACTTAGCATACAATTGTTCAGCTTTAGCCATGTTGCGGTCCTTAGGCCATTTTTAAATTGGGTGGTTTGTCTTTAAATTGCTGACTTGTAAGACTTCCTTTATATACTTTAGATATCAGATCTTTATCAGATATGGTTTACAAAAAAAAATCTCCCATTCTAGCAGTTGTTTATTCACTTTCTTGATAAAATCCTTGGAGACACAGAAGTTAGCAATCTTCATGAAATCCAATTTATCTATCATCTTTGTTGCGTGTCCTTTTGGTGTCCTTTCATTACCTTGGGCCTCAGAATGAACTGTCCTTCCATGCAAATCCTGCAAATCACACTGCCATTTGAGAGTAAGGCTTGTCTGTACTATGATGAAAATGAAAGTTTCTGTGCAATTTCTTGTGCAAAAAATCAGTAACCCAGAAATCATAACAGTTGGATAGCAATACATGATATAAAACATTCACTACAACTCTAAACATACATTAATTATGTCAGTTTACATTGCTTTGCACACAGAGAAGGGTGAAAGGAAGCATACAAAACAAGAATGGTGGCATTCTAGTGATCTTTCCTTCTCCTTACCCTTTTCAGTTAACATACACTTTCTACAACGAGAACATACTGCATAATACTCTCATAAAATATTAAAACCTGAAAAATATTAACTGGAAAAAAAAAACACAAACTGTACTTATTAAAATTCATGCCACACAGAGCTACCGTCTACCACCAAGAAAGAAGAAGCCATTCTTTGAATCCAGGATCCCTGCATAAGACACTCCTAGACCCAGGGGAAGATGGATGAAAGGACCTTTCCCCAGAGTCAACAGAGAGAAAGTCTTCCCCTGCAGCTGGCGGAGAATTTAGACTTCTAAGTGTGGTGCTGTCTGATAAGCACTTGACTACTAACCTCAAAGTCGGCAGTTCAAATTCACCAGCTGCTTCTCAGAAACCCTGTACAAAGTCACTATGAGTCAAAACTGACTCAACACTTAACAAAAACAACAGTTCCTAAACTGTGAGAGGATAAATTCCTGTTTGTTAAATAAATAAAATTCATGCCACATAATTTAAAGTGGACTTCTAGAAATAGTTTTCATTTTTATGTTTAATATCAGAAAACACAAATGGAAATTAATGTTCCTGTGATTAAGGCAGCTAGTAAATTCTGTATTTGTAACTTTGGTAAGATTCCTCCCTTCATATGAATTTCCTTGTGCAAAAAAATAGGAATAACGTGATTGACATCTTTCACACAATGTTTACAGTAACATGGACTCTCCACTGTCGGAAATCCTGAGAGAGGAGGGACACGGAAGGATTCCCTCATCTTTAACATTCACTCATAGGTTCAATACACAGTTTAATGCGTTTGCTTCCAGGTACCTTTCATTTACATGGTGTCTCTACACTGTGACTTCTCTTGAGTTCAGTTAGGTTAATTAAGAAGGCTTTCCCATATGTGTGAATTCATTTGTCTCTGAAAATACAGGAAGGAAAACAAAACTTATACCATATTTCTTATATTTATATGGTTTCTTTGTCATATATCTATTTTCAGATTTGGGCAAAGGTGATGGATAAATAGTATCCATTATTACCTATATGTATACTGTTTCTCTCCAATACCCCTACTCATGTGTTCCAAATGATGCAGGGTATCTGAAGAGTTTCCCACATTCCTTACATCCATAAGGACTCAATCCACTTTGAGTTAGGATGTCTACAGAAGGAAGAATGACCAAAAACTTTCCTATACTACTTACATTCATTTGGTTTCCGCCACTATGCCTTCTCTTCTGTGTTCTGAGAGACACGGATAATAGCTTCCCCACATTCCTTACAACCTAAAGTTCTCTTAGTAATGATGCTTACTAAGAAATAAGAAATGCTTACTGAATAAAAGGGGTTTCTCCACATTCCTTTTATTCATAAGCCTTCTCTGCATTGTGAGTTCTTATATGTCTAGTGAGGGATGAGGAGTCTGTAAAGGCTTTCCCACATTCCTTGCAAACATAAGGCCTCTCTCCACTGTGCGTTCTTATATGTCTAATGAGGTGTGAGGAACGACTAAATACTTTCCCACATTCTATACACCCATAAGGCCTCTCTCCACTATGAGTTCTTATATGTTTAGTGAGGTTTGAGAAATGACTAAAAGCTTTCCCACATTCCTCACATTCGTAAGGCTTCTCTCCAGTATGAATTCTTATATGTGTAGTGAGGGCTGAGGAATTACTGAAGACTTTCCCACATTCCTTACACTCATAAGGCCTCTCTCCACTGTGAGTTCTCATATGTGTAATGAGAGATGAAGACTGGCTGAAGACTTTCCCACATTCCTTACATTCATAAGGCCTTTCTCCACTGTGAGTTCTTATATGAGTAGTGAAAGCTGAGGAACCAGTAAAGGCTTTCCCACATTCCTTACATTCATAAGGTCTCTCTCCACTGTGAGTTCTTATATGTGTAGTGAGGGACGAAGAAATGCTAAAAGCTTTCCCACATTCCTTACATTCATAAGGTCTCTCTCCACTATGAGTTCTTATATGTGTAGTGAGAGATGAGGAATCACTAAATGCTTTCCCACATTCCTTACATTCATATGGTCTCTCTCCACTGTGAGTTCTGGTATGTCTAGTGAGAGCTGAGGAGTTAGTAAAGGCTTTCCCACATTCCTTACATTCATAAGGCCTCTCTCCACTGTGAATTCTTATATGTGTAGTAAGAGAGGAGGGATCACTAAAGGCTTTCCCACATTCCTTACATTCATAAGGTTTCTCTCCACTGTGTGTTCTTATATGTGTAATGAGAGCTGATGAATGTCGAAAGGCTTTACCACATTCATTACATTCATAAGGTTTCTCTACACTATGAAATTTCTTTTGTAAACTAAGTGACGAGGGACAAGTTTTCCAATATTCTTTGCATTCACCCTCATGACTTCTCACATGTGTCTGAAAGGATGAGAAACTACACAAATTTCCTCCATATTGGTTATATTCACAGGGCTTCTCTCCACTAAGATTTTTCACAGGAGTGCTGAGGTAAGGATAACGGCAGGCTTCTTCATATTCCTTACACTTATAGATACTGCATCCAGTTTCAGATGTGGTACAATGTCTATACGATGAATGATCTGTGAAGGATCTTCCACACTCAAGGTATTCATAAGGATTTACCTCAGTAGTTCTTTTGAGTACAGTAAATTTTGGAAACTGACTGA